TATATGTGTTAAAAAATTATATTGCAGTCTGTCTTTTGTGTCTTTAGAATTATCATTTTATTTTTACCAAAGTAAATAAATGTACATAAATCACAGACCCTGATATTCACGATGGGAAAGCAGCTGTCCCAGCACCACCCACACTACAGCCTTACTGGTGACAACGTGTGTCGTGTCCACAGCAAAACCTCAGAGCACACCTTGGCTGTGTTTCCTTGCTTGTAGAACTTTTCCTGAAGTTGATCGTCATTTTCATCTGCTTAGTCTTTTTCATCTGCTGTAGTTTATTAATACAGGCCTACATTTAGGCAGACCTAGGAGATACTTCTTGCACAGCCAGGACAGCAGGCATCCTGCAGTTCTGCTGGGCCTGGGAGACAAGACTCTCGGCCCCACTGCTCAGTGTGTCCGGACAATCTGCTCTCCAGGACCCCCAGTGCCCCACACCCTCCATCCAGGAACCTTCCTCCTTCCCTGGGTTCTTTGGACTTGCCCTCCTCCCTCACCCTAACTGAGCACATCTTCCAGTAGCTCCCTGGGGAATTACATGTGAAACTTGAGTTTTCAAAGTCCCTGTTTGCTGGGAAATCTCTTTAATCCATTCCTACTTGTTTGACAGTTTGGTCGGGTACCCACATCATCTTCCTGCATTGTTTCAGGCCATCGTCTTGTGTCAGAGAATCCAAAGCTGTTCTCAAGTTTGATCCTTTGTCCCCAGAGCCCTGAAGCAATTCATTGCCCACTGGATGAGGATCTGTGACCTCCGTGTCCCCGGACTGTGGGCTCCCTTGACACCAGCCCCTCCCTCAGATAGAGGAGTTTGTCTTGAATTATTGTTAGTCTTTTTTCTCCACTGTATTTATTCTCTTGTCTCCTGGGGTTTTCATTCACTTGATTTTGACCTTTGTACTCTCATTTTTCATCTTTTTATCTCCTTATTCTCCTTTCTGAAAATTCTCAACTTTTTCTTGAATTTCTTCTTCCAGCACTTTAATTTGTGTTCTCCTGGCTTTATCCTCTGTAAAATTCACCTCACTGTTGGTAGTTTCAGGGAAGAGCACCATGGACATGTGCATCCTCCCTCTAGCCTCACCTGCCTGCCTCCTGCCACAGCGATGCTGTGAACATTCTATGTTGCTCAGTCAGCAGGTCCTTTCCTTGCTGGCTCCTGGACATGGCGTTCAGCTCACAAAGAAATTGCCCTCTTCACTCTTGCCAGGTGCATGCATGTACCCTCTTTAAACCCACCTGTTCAATAGTTGAAGCGTTCCTACTCCGAGAGTTGTCTTCTGCTGTGACTGACTCTCAAGGGGAAAAAAAAGCAGTTTATAAAATTGGTGCACAGTGTTTGAGTTAGGGAAGACAAGCTGGAATTGCTGCTTTTTCTTTATTTATTTATTTATTTATTTTTTTAGTTGAAATCTCACTCTCTCCCCAGGCTGAAATGCAGTAGTACAGTCACAGCTTACCACAGCCTGACCTCCTGGGCTAATTTTTTGATTTTTTTTTTTTTTTTTTTTTTCTGTAGAGACGAGGTCTTGCTATGTTGCTGAGGCTGGTCTCAAACTTCTAGGTTCAAGAAAGCCTCCCTTCCTGACATACTGAAGTGCTGGGATTACAGGCTTAAGCCACTACACCTGACCTGGAATTGCTTCATGTTGGCAGATGCAGGCACAGGTGCTAGAGATTGTGTGGAATTTTAAGGTTATCTTCCTTAATTGTCATTTACTTGTTTGTCTTTAAGAGAAACATTCCGCCTGCTGCCTGCACATACATTGAGTTCAGGAATAAGGTTAGCATCCTTCCTAGCCTTCACCTTCACTGGCAGGGAGCTACTCCTCCAAGATGCCTCTCGCCCGATGCTTGTTGAGTTTCATCAGCTTACCTGCAGCCTGTTAGAGGCTTCTAAATCCAGTTCCTATGGCTCCTCGCATGGCCACACCGGGTGTGAAATGAGTTTTGGTGGCCCTCAGGTGCTCTGAAGGAGCCATTGCACTGGGCTGGCATACAGTAACCTTCTGCGCCTCCTATCCTTGTTACCAGATGCAGACTCACCTGCATCCTATGCTTTGACTGCCTGTGACAGGCATTCTGCAAGCGTTAAGAAATCCATGTTCGAATAGCTGGAACTGTAGGTCACTTGTCTTCTCTTTGGAGTTTAACCCATGTCAGCTTGTAAGTTGTCCTGACTGGAAGTGATCAGAGAAAAAGCCTTTTGCAGAGAAAGCTGAGGGAAAGCAGGAAGCAGGAAGGCTGCAGCTCACAGGCCCTTCCAGCTCAGCCTGTGAAGACAACCCTGACAGCAGACACTGAGATGTCCCCTCACATATGGCTCCCCAGGGGCTGCCTTCTGCCCCACAGGTTTTTTCATCCTCTCCATTGAAGCCCAATCTGGGTTCCCTGGGTCAGGGCTCCTTTCTTTTCTGTCCACATGTCTGCTGCTCAGTCCGTTCTCCCCATCATTGGTGGCTCTGTTTGTCTGGTAGATTCCATGGGCGAATCAAGGTCCTAAGGAACCCCATAGGCAGGTTCCTGGCCTCACACCGTGCTGTCCCCTGGCAGTGCCGGTGTGGTATCATGGAGCCTTCTGGTTGGTGCCAGCCAACTTGCAGGCAGGACTGCTCCAAAGAGTCCCATTGAGTTTAACGCTCCAGCATTGCCATTTTGAAGTTCTTCATCGTGTTTGAACACAAGGCCAGCCCTCATTTCCACTTTGCTGTGGGTCCTTTGCATTAGGTAGTAGGTCCTGGCTTGAGATGGGGCTGTGCAGGGAGAGGTGGTGAGTCCTGCCCCACATCTGCCTTACAGAAGGAGGGGGCAGCCACCTCCAGGAGAGCACTGTGTGTTCAACTAGCGTCAACGAGACCAGGCAGGTGTTCAGGTGGCAGGGGGACAGAACATGGGTGAGGGGACAGAATAATATCAGATAGTGGCATGGCTGCTATGAGGAAAACGGGGCAGTGGGGCTGTGGTAGGGGCAGCATGGGAGGCAAGGAAACCTGGGCAGGGGAGGCAGGTCAGAGGAATGCAGGGGCCTTTCCTGTCGATTCTGTCACATCAGGAGTCTGGGGTCCTGAGTGGGGTCGTGGGAGGATCTGATATCTTATGCTAATGACCTGTCTGGTGCTTTGACTGTGTAGTAGCCTCCAGTCCATCTCACAGAGACCTGCAAGGCCTAGGGGAGGACAGGGTGCTGGGCTGCAGTGGTTTGGCCAGCCTGGAGTGGCCTGGAGTGACCCTGCTATACCCTGCCTCCTGATGTGCACAGCCTGCTCCATGGCAGCAGGACAACCCCCAAGAGAGGCCCCTCCCACACAGGGCCAGGGACCACTGTGCTCCATTCTGCTGATGTACATGCCCAATCTCAAAAGTGGCTCCTCTTCACAGTCTGCAGCTTCTGTCCCAGCAAGTGGCAGCAGAGCCCATGTGGGCTGCAGTGGAGGTCTTGGTGGTGGGAGAAGAGGTATTATTTTCTTGCCTAGTAATCAAGTGGGGTCTTTGGCTTGACTTTGTTTTTTGTTTTAAACAATGACAAGAAACCCATTGTAGGAATGGAAGTGTGAATCTACACTTACTGCACAGGCACACATGTTAAGAACAGAAGTGGGCCCTCTTCTTCAGCCAGTGGAGAGGCAGGCTTGTGCTTGAATCCTTCATCTGTCATCATCTGGGTCTTCAGTGCTGCAGAGCAGGCGGGCATCACTCCCCCAGAGCAGTCTGGGGATCTTGAAGAGTCTGACAGCTTCTTAAAGTACATCTTTGATTTCTCTGAGAAGCCTGATTTAGGGAACCTGCTTCTCCCATCTCTTCCCAAGACCCACAAAACACCTTCCCCTGCCTTGTTGCCTCCTTCAGAGTGGAGTAGGTCCAGAGCCACCCACATGTCCCAAAGGGTGGGGTCACTCATGACCTGATTCTCATAACCCAAACCCATCTTAGTTCTGATTCCAGAGGAAAGCTTCACTCACTGCTTGTTGCTCTGAAAGCAGTGAACTTCCTGTTTCAGAAAGATTAAAAACAGCAGGGTGCTGGTTTTAAAAAAGAGAGACATAAAACCTCACTAATTTGCAAATCTACAAGTGGCAGGATCTTGCACGTATTGTAGTCAAGTAAAAGCTCAAAACTCTAAGACAGGAATTACATACCTCTGGCGGTAGTGTCACTGATGTCCCAGGCTCTGAAAGCCCATGACTCTGCTCCATAGGGTTGGAGCTTCTTAAGCCTCTTCCAAAGCCTCCCAATTACCAGCACCACTGGAGCATCCCACCATGTGCTCAAGGTGTGGGCTCCAGGTACAGAGGAACTGGACACGAGGGTGGGCTTGATGTCACAGAGCAGAGCTGTTCACAAAACCATACTATGCCAACGCCTATGTGCTGAGCTGGGGTGAAATGGAGGGCAGCGTGTATGACCCACTCTCAGGGGATGAGAATTGGCTTGGCTTCTCCTCCCATTCAGGGAGTAGGACTGGCACCCCCTGCTGTGGGTGCCTCACTGACCTTTCACAGATGTGGCTATATGTTGGTGACCAAGAAAATGTGTAGCATAGAAGCCCTTAATGATTCATGTTTGTCAGTTTTTCTCAGATGTTAAAGCAACACAGCTAGAGTGACATGGATGAATTATCTACAATGTTATTTATTTATGAGACCTCACAGCTCGCCGGCTTCCTGCTGTGCCCAGTGAATTAGGCCATGGGTCTTCTTTCCCGTCTATGGGTAGACGTGGTAGCGGCGTTACTTTATGAAGATGCTACCAGCATCGTAGAACCCTGTGTCCCTGGGAATTAAGCCCAAGCATCCAATGTATTCATTGTTTGAGACTGATGAGTGAAACTGGAATCCCCTGCCCACAGGTCTTGTGAGTGTCCTTGGGTCTCCCTGGAGCTGAACGTCCATGTGCAGCGAATATTTACCTCGTGTGCATGTTTGTAAACCACCCCCGTGATCACCTTGAACTCTGTTGTGTCAGCCTGACTGTAGTGACATCTTTCTCTGCAGCTTCTGAACCCAATCTGAAGTTGCGATCCAGGCTAAAGCAGAAAGTGGCTGAAAGGCGGAGCAGCCCCCTGTTACGCAGAAAAGATGGGCCCGTGGTCACTGCTCTGAAGAAGCGTCCGTTGGATGTCACAGGTACGTCAGCCAAGCAGGTCTTGCCACCTCTGGCTTCTCTGTGAGGTGTCCCTGGTGCAGTCAGTGTCTCTAGGGTGCCTCTGAAAAATCATGTCCCTGTGTGACACTGTCGGCCCCCAATGTGACCTTGTTCCCATGGCACTGCAAGTGCCAGGCCCAGTGTACCAGGGTTGGTGACGTAAGAGTCTCCAGCCAAGTCCTTGCTGCCAGCGCTAGTCACTCAGAGCTGGTTTTGATGGGGCCCAGGTATAGGAGAGGGATCTGGCTTGGTGCTGCGGGAGATGTTTATGAGGAATGTTAAGTTGAGGTTTCTCTGAAGGAGTTTTAACCGACCCTGTCCTATTAGTGGTGGATCACACATCCTTCCCTCCTCTCCACTGCCCGCCAAGCAATGTCTGAACTGCCGGAGAGTTTTGAAGTCTTCTCTGCCAGAGTGGCCATCAACTGGGCCGAGGGAAAAAGCCAGGAGCAAAATTGTTTCTGCTTCATCTTGGTAGACATGATGAGGTTGGCCCCATCTAGTGGTGGACGCACAGAAGGATGAACAGGCAGAGCCTGGTCCAAAGGAGTACCTGCCCTCTTGAGGACATATCCCCACCCTGAGGCAACCCCACTCCCCCAGAACACACCTTCCCCACTGCTCCTGAAATCGTAGCACCAGGATGAGGGGCTGCTCAGAGGTGGACTGGAAACAGGAGGGCAGTGAACATATTTGCACAACATAGTGCTCCGAATTTGAAGGCCAAGGCTCTTGGTGGCTGGTCTGTGAATTGCAGGGTTCCAGTGTGTTCCGAGGAACATATTGTTGTCCCAGGAAAGAATAAAAGGACGGTGTCCTCTGTGTGTGAGCATCTAGCATCTCCCAAGGACTCTGGGCAGCACGAGGAGAGCCAGGCCTCCCTCCTCAACATGGAGGCCTACTGTGCCTTGTGCCCTGCCCACCTCTGCTTTAGGGAATCTTAGCCCTGTCCAGGGGCCTGGCTCTGGATATTTGTGGATTTGTATGAAAAAGAGCCTGACAGCTTCCTACCATAGGGAACACCATTCTTGTCTTTTTTTTTTTTTGAGTTGGAAGTTTCTTTCCTCTAAGAGACCTTGTGTAGAGAGATCAAGAAATGTCATAATCTGAAATCTCACCAAATCTAACTGGGGAAGATTTAGTTTAAATAAGGTTTCATGTGAATTAAAAACTCCGAAACACAAATGCAGCCTAATTTCCTTTAAGCAGTGTCTTACTTGGCCAGCTCTAATGGGAGATGAACCCTTGCATTTTTTTAGTAACAGTTGGTAAGATGGAGTGTCTACCAAGTGTTAAACTTGGTTTTTATGTTGTCAGTTAGTGACTACTGAATGCTGTTTGTGAGTCAGCAGCAGGCTGGGCACAGAAATAATGAGAAGAGGTTCTTGCCTTCAAGTAGTTTATGATCTAATTTGAGAAACAAGCCTATCTCACACGAGACATGTGAAGAATCATGTGTGACAGGACCTGAGTAATACTGAACTATGTCCTAGAGAAAGTCCACACTGAGGAACCCAGGGGCAGGGGAGGTCAGCAGCAGTCACACTGAGCCAGACCGAGCTTTGGAGAAGGTATTTTTGTGCTGGGACTTGGTGGATGTGTATGGTTAGGACAGAGACAGAGGGTTGTACATATTCTGGTTGGCACAGGCACGGCAGCCGCCATGGTGGGGAGGATACTCTGAATGGAGCTGTTTTCCAACAGACAGAAAACAAGGGGTTCTGGGAGGGAGTCCTAAATAGAGCAGTCGAACCTCTCCAAGGAGGTTCTGGGGAGGCAGTGATGATTCTTGAACAGAAGAGAGCTAGATCCAGGGAGATTCAAGAGTACTAGGAGTCAGGCTCAGGGGGCAGGCTGGATTTATACTCGCCTTTGTCTTGTTGTTAGTTATCTGTGTATGTTGTAGAACACAAAGAAGAAAATAAGTTACCTACATGCACACTGTCTACAGTAACTGCTGTTCACAATTTCATGTATTTTCTTCCATCTTTTTTCTGTGCATTCCTTTACTTAGTTGAATTCATACCATCTTTCTCTGCAAGCTCATATCCTTTTTTCACTTGATATGAGCCACAAGCATTTTTTTAAGCACCTCTAATGGTATTTCCATTTTGCTGATATAAATAATACCATTATGATTATGCATTTATATTTATTTTCTTAAGCTGATTCCTGGAAATAGATTGAAAAAATATTAACATCATTGAGTTAAAAGCTGGGTGGGAAGTTAGATATCCATTTTTTATTACCCTAAAAAGTTGTCCCAGTTGTCCACACACATGCATGAGAGTGCTTATCTGGTGACTTTATGAGGAGGCACACGTTTAAAGGAAAATTTATTGGAACTTGGTATGTAGCTGGACACAGGTCAACACAGGGAGCAGGGGTTGAGGCAGGGCCAGAGATGGGAGGGTTAGAGGGGCATGGAGAAAGCAAATCCTATTTTCCTGAGGGGAATGTAAACACCTGCTCAGTGGCATCCCAGTGGTTCCCAGTTAAAGTGCAAACAAGCATGATTCACCACAGAAAGAAGTCAACCTCTAGATTATATTTGGTGGGAGTGAGAGAGAGACAGAGAAAGAATAAAAAGAGGAGGGAACAGGGTGGGGACCAGGTTCTGTGCTTATTGTCAGTGCCTGCGACAGTGAGCTAACCCCATGCTTATTTGAGCTCCAGGGAGCAGTAGGAATAAGCTCTTGAGTGAACACAGCCATTTGCCCTCTAGAGGTTTAGATATCTGCTGTTGAGGGTGACAGAGGAGCCCGAGTGTCCCTGGGTGGAGCTGGGTCAACAGAGGAAGCAAGCACTCACAGTACCACTAGATCGAGTTGGATGTGTGTATGCCTTTGACATCTCCCTTGTGTTGGGTGACCTGGGACAAGTGATATAACTGCTCTGTACCTCAATTTTCTCTTCTGTGCTATGAAGGCAACGATAATACCTTCCTCAAAGAGCTATGGAGGTGAATGAGCTAATAAGAGCAGAGCTTGGAGCCAAATTTATCAGGTCAGGAGAGCTGTGGGTTATATTTGGAGCCATTTTTCAGAGTCACCTGCTTCCAGCAGGTTTTGGACACCATGTGAGTAGCAGAGTAAACACCTACATGCTCATGGGCTCCAGGGGACAGGGGCAGTAAGCAGTCCATGGAAGAGCTTTTGCTGGGAACTGGCCCACCTCCCAGCTCAGCTACCTACCTTGAGCAACCTGCTTAGGGCAAATGTCCTTCAGTGTCTTCACTGTGCCATTTCTTCCTAACCCCTGTGTGCTGCACAAGTCTATCTTTGGACTGCGACTATAAGCAATCAGTGTTATTGTTGAATGGTAGACACCTAGAATTTTCAAGGCAAATGGCTCATGTTGTGTTTTCCTCAGAAAGCTTTAATCAGATGATGCCATTGTTAAAATGCCATTAAACCAAACATATAAAAAGCTAGCTACCCAAACCCTTTGGATAATATTGAGAATCACAGAGGCTTCCCCAGTGTGTACACATGAAACACAACAGCCTCCTCTAGACACGCAGGAGCTCTGGGTTAGACCTGGCTCCTTTCCTGAGTCATGGCTTGCCAGGTTCCAGTCACTTCAACATTTGGAGGTACTTTAAGAATACATTGGTGTGTGTTTTCAAATAACACTGATCGGTCACAAAAGCCACTAGCTGTATTTTCCCCTGGATGTGTGCTGTTATGTAGGGAAAATGAGAGGATTAAGTGCAGAGTGAACACTAATGGTAGGTTGCTGTATTCCAAAAGAAACTTTTTTTAGTGAGCACAGTCCATTTGACCTTTCACTGTTCAAAGTCATTTGGCTTCTGTGTTTCTTGGTCTTCTGTTGTTAGATTATTAGAAAGTGTTTAAAGATTTATCTTTCTGGTGTTTAAAATCATATTGAAAATCAAAAGAGGTGTAAAACTGGTAATGTGCATGCCCTAAAAGCCAAAGGTACAGTCAGTGGCAAAACCAGAAATTAGCATCACTTTCCCTGGTTTGGAACCACAAACACTCTCTTTCTTGCTGGGATTTCTGCCAGTTGCAAGCTTGCAAGCAGAGATCCATGAAAGGCAGAGAGACCACTCAGGCCACAGGTAAGCATGACCCACCCGTGCACAGAGTGATGCTCACCATGGTGTTTCTGCCTTCACAGACTCCGCATGCAGCAGTGCCCCAGGCTCTGGGCCCAGCTCGCCCAACAACAGCTCCGGGAATGTCAGTGCCGAGAACGGGATAGCACCTGCGGTCCCCAGCATCCCAGCCGAGGTCGGTGCCAAGCATTTCTGTGCTGTGTTCTGCACTGAGTCAGATTCAAAAGATTGATGTGCTTGAAATGACCCCACCGTGCACTTGCCCCTCACTCTTGACTTTCCAATTTGGGGTGAGGGAAACTGACACGTGTCATCCTGAAGAAGACCCATTTGGCCTTTACCCTCTTGCCATCCATTCATCATAAATGTCTCCTTTAAATAAGAAGACATTAGTCCCAGATACGTCAGAGACAACTCTGAACCCAGTCCTTTCTCCTGGCTTCTTCCAGAGCATGTTTTGTTAGGTGGCATCACAGCACAATCCCCCATGCATTCGACACTCTGGGTGGATAGGACCCTTGCTGCCCAGCTCACCATGGTCGCCAGAATTCCATATAGTGGCTGGGAGACAGTGGGCAAATGGGAATATTTGCAGAGTGAGATTTAAAATATTTATTTTGTATTGAGAAATACACAACTTGAAATGTGGGCCAACAAACCATTTGTCAAAGCAGAGTGTCACCCATGGTCAGTAATACAAGGGCCAGCCGATGCCAGAGGAGCAGTTCTCAAGGCATTGCAGGAATGAGAAGTCTCAGACCACAGGGCTCAGCACCCCTAGTCCCCTACCTTCATGAGACCCCAAAGGGGCTTTGGCAAACTAGAGTAGGATCAGAGAGGGCTCTGGTATCCCTTGGAGAGAATAATGTCAGAGACATAAGAGCTTAGCAGAGAGGAGGGTGGAAGGATGTCAAGGCTGACAGTCGTACCCCTGATGGGACCTGGGTCGGGGGACTTTCTTGGAGCAGCAGGTCCTGAAACCCTCACTCCACATTCATGGCGCTCCTTTATTCATACCCTGTGTCTATTCCACAAGTTTCTGGAGTGCCCTGTGCCAGACCCAGAGATGGAGCCTGGCAGGCAGCTGAGGGCCCTCTCCACACAGCAGCCCCACTGATGAGGAAAGGCAGGTATCAGCCAGGACATGGAGAGGAGGGGCCTTCACATGGCTGAGTGGTACCGTGGACTGGGCCAGGGGTGACTACGTGGGGCAGGGCTGCTTCGGCAGTGAGCCTTCTGATGAATTGAACCAGAAATGCCGTCTGCTTTGTGGGGCAGAGAGTTCTGTTGAGTGGGAGGTTCTTTTTGAATTCTCTCTAACTCACAGAAGACTATAATTTATTAAATATAGCTATTACTTTCCTTCTTAAATATTTAGAAATGAATCCTGCCCTTCCAAGGGTTGACAGATCTTAGTTGGGATACACAAGCCCAAGTCCTTAGCGTTTTCAAATTTCTAGACCCTTTACGTATAACAAGATTTTTGGCAACTAGTATTATTGCTAGAAATGAATTTTGTAGTACCACCTCTAGGCTACTTAATTTTCATTTTTTCTTATTCTTTGTACTTTAGACATCTGTTTATTTTATTACCTCTCTTCTTCATCCTACCAACTTTAGTACTTATTTAGATGGTTAGAAGTTTTAACAGTCCTTCTGTATGACTGAGGTCACAGCTGAGGTCTACTAGTAATAAGCCTTAGAATGCAACCTGGAAATGACTTCCTACCCTGTGATGTTAACACTGGTTATGTCTTGTTGATCATAGTCATAGATACTTGTTTCTATTTAAATAAGTGGACAATCATGTACATGATAGTTAATATTGTAACAGTGCCTTGCTTGGGTGAATCTGCATGGTTCCAGTTAGGTGTCAATTTTATGAATCATGCTGTGTAATTTAAGCTACTGTAAATTAATACAACATGTAAGAGGAATCATAAGAAATACGAAAAGTTCAATTGTTTGCATTTCACATCAGATAGTCATTATGATAAGCAGAGGTAGCCTTTGAATGTTTGACCACATGTGGATGTCCTTTGTGGATTTCCAGCATCATTAGAATCGGATGACTTTTGAGAACTTCATGCTTCCTGGCCAAGGAAGCCAAGGCCAGCTTTTCATTCTCATGTGTGTAGAGGCAGCAAACCTGCCCAGAGGAGGGGGAATCTCATGCAGAAGCAGAACATGGCAGGAGTAGGGATCTCCCAGCCAAGCTCTTAACACCTCCTTTTGCTCTTGACTCTGGGAGCCCCCATAGAAACACTACTGTATCTTGAAGACTCCTGGACCCAGAGAAGCCCAGCATCCTCTACACCACCTCCCTTGCAGGGAGGAAGCAGGGCTCTAAGAACCAGAGGGATGTTCCACAGGGGCTCAGAGAACAGTTCCTGTGGTGCTGCTCCATCTAATTAAAACACTGCATGTCATTTGAGCGTGTGCAGCAGGTACTCAGACCTTGGGCCCCTGGACATTCTAAGAGTTTCCGAGTGCCTCTCCCTGGAAGCTGATGAGCACATCATAGGGTGGATGGAGCTCCATGTGGCTCCTTCCTGCACGATCATCCCAAAGACAGCAGACACCAAAATGCCCTGTGACTTTTCATCTGGACCAATCGATATAACCAAGTAATTTTCAGAAGGTTGATTTATTTCTAAAAATAAATTGGGTAAAAAAATGAATAAATAAAACCTTGGTTATAGAGGCTGTAAGATTATAACTTTGCAAACGTTAGAATGTCTGCTTATTTTGTTCCCAAATCATTGTGATACAACAGTCGTGCTTTTCTGTCAATCTCAAGCATTTCCTCTAAAGCATAACTTACTGATGTTTCTTTCACGTTAACAAAAAAATTTTTTTTGTCTAGGGAAAATGCTTTTCACAGAAGCTCTTTAATCATTACTTATACAGTTTAATATGTGAGCAAATCTAAAGGTAGTTGAAGCATTTTTCTTTGGGACAAGACACTGTAAGCTGCTTTAAGTGAAAAAGCTGTGCCTTTTACAGGTTCAGCATGAGCATAAACATTTGTTAGGCTGAGCATTTTTAATATACCGGTTGGCAACTTGTATATCTTCTTTTGAGAAATATCTGTTCAGATTCTTTGCCCACCCTTTCTCTCTCTCTCTCTCTCTCTCTCTCTCAATTTATTGTTTTTGGGACATAGTCTCACTGTTACCCAGGTTGAACTACAGTGTCATGATCATAGCTCACTGCAGCCTTGAATGCCTGGCTCCAGTGATCCTCCCAAGTAGCTAGGACTACAGGCATGTGCCACCACACACAGCTAATTTTTTTAAAAATTTTTTGTAAAGACAGGGTCTTCCTATGTTGTCCAGGTTAGTCTGACACTCCTGGGCACAAGCAATCCTCCCTCCTCAGCCTCCCAGATTGCTGGGATTATAGGCCTGCCTGCTATTTAAGGGGATTATTTGGGTTTTTTGTTGTTGAGTTTGAGATCCATGTATGTTCTGGATATCAGTTCCTTGTCAAATGAACAGTTTGTGAGTATCTTCTCCTATTAAACAGGTTGTCTTTTCACTCTATTGTTTTCTTTACTGTACAGAAGCTTCTTAGTTTAACATAGTCCCGTTGTCTATCTTTGGTTTTGGTGCCTGTGCTTTTGAGATCTTAGCCATTAACTATTCCACAATAGCCAAGATATGAAATCGACCTAGGTGTCCATCAATGAATGAATGGCTAAAGAAAATGTAGTATATATTTATACACAATGGAATACTATTGAGCAATAACAAAGGATGCAATCCTGACATTTGCAGCAGCATGGGTGCAACTGGAGGTCATTTGGTTAATTGAAATAAGCCAGACCCAGAAAGACAAATATAGCATGTTCTTACTTATGGGGGGAGATGTTCTCATTTATATTAACCTTCATCAGTCCAACACATTGCCAGTTTTGTAATCATTATCTGCCTTTTATATGAGGAGGGGTTTTTTGGTTGGTTTTTTGTTTGTTTGCTTTTATCAGTAATTATCTCTTTGGTTTATGTCTTCGATGTCATCTTTGGAAAGACATTCCCGACTCCAAAAATGTATTTTTAACATATTATGCTTATTTTCTTCTGCTAGTGAGTAAGCAAATTAAATAAAAATAAACTAGATGACAACAGACACAGTGGCAGAAGAAGGGTTCATTTCACCGGGGAATACATTCATGAGCCGTGAATTGTGTTTCCTCCTTGTGGTATGCTTTAAAATTCCAGGCTTGTCTATCTGCTATAATATGTTAAATACCTGTTTGCACTCAAGTGTCTCGAGATCAGCTCGGTCTGCCTGGGAGCATTTCTCTTGTCATTTTTCTGGTGTGTGTTGCTCATGTTTGCTGGCAACAGACTGTGTGTGACCGGCATCGTGTGTTCTGTCCCCAGGCGAGTTTGGCGCATAGACTTGTGACACGAGAAGGCTCGGTGGCTCCACTCCCTCTCTACACGTCGCCGTCCTTGCCCAACATCACTCTGGGACTACCAGCCACCGGCCCTTCCACTGTAAGTGGCCTTCGTGGGGCTGTGGGACTTGGGATGGCAGTGGTGGGTCCTTCAGCCCAAGCATCCTGGCTGTGCTTTCCAGGGCACGTCCGGCCAGCAGGACGCCGAGAGGCTTGCCCTCCCCGCCCTCCAGCAGAGGATCTCCCTTTTCCCCGGCACCCACCTCACTCCCTACCTGAGCACGTCACCCCTGGAGCGGGACGGTGGCACGGCGCACAACCCTCTTCTGCAGCACATGGTCTTACTGGAGCAGCCGCCAGCACAGACACCCCTCGTCACAGGTGAGTACCAGGCAGGCACTGGCTGCCATCAGCCTTTGGAGGAGGCAGGGCCAAAAGCCTGTCCCACCCCCACGATTCCTGTGTACGTGTCCTTGTCATGTAATTTAGTCATCCTGACTATAATGAAAAACCATATCTCACACCTAAAATCAGATAGATGGTATAAAATAGATGTTAGTTACACCTGTCTGATCTCTCTAGATGGGCCACTGGCTCTTCTGATTTGGGTCCCTGTCTGGATTAAGTTGACAAGTGTTAGAATCCCAATCAGAATTGACTGTGATAGATAGTTTCTAGTAGCAGGAGAGCTTTGTACAAATGTGCACTGCCTGAGGGATGGTTATAGTTAGAAAAATAAAATTTTGAGAAAAATAGGAATTTTGTTAAGAACTTTGTTTTACATAACAACAACAGTGTAACTCCAGAAGTGATGGAACATGTGTTTTCTGTGAAAAAAAAAAAAATTCCCCACCATATGTGTCATCGTTTCACATCTTCACCCCATCTTTAGCTTTGTGCTTGGCGTCTTGGAGATCTATTTATTTCACAATCACAAGCTGAAATATCCTCAGAGCTGTACCTTGTAGTCTGGCACTTAACTTAGATGAAAACTCAAGATGCCTGGCATGTCATAGACTGGATGTAGGGTGTACAAGTCTTTGTGTCAGTTTGGGTGGGTTTGGTCCTTTTGGTTTTGTTTTCTTGTTTTGTGCTGTGTGTTTGGTTAGACAAAAGACACCTCCTTTGCCCAGACCTGGGAAGCAGCGTCTTGCTGAAGCCACATGGGGGCGAGCTTTATTTATGCTCAGGCCCCTTTCTGGTAGTTTCTCCAGAAGCCTGAATTCTTGTCCCTGTGCTGTGTAGAGCCCAGGAGCAGGCAAGTGTGACCAGGGAGTGTATCTCTCAAGCTCGGGCAGCAAGCAGAGTCGGGTGATCTCTCTGGAGTTCATCTAAAGTTGCAGCTGAATCTACCAGCTGCTCAAGATCAGATAGCAGGATTTGAGTAGTGAAGAGTGCCTGAGTGTTTATTAAAACATGGAATCTGCCTGGTCCTTTAGGATTCTTGGGATTTGCCTTACCAGAGATGTGTCTATTATTCCTCTTCTTTCCTCTCTAAATCAGTGTATTATCCATGATTAAATAGCATGCATAATCTTGTGTATCTTGTGTATCTCAGATTCTTGGAAAACAGCCTTTTTAATAGAACTTTAGAAACAATGTTGCATAAATCCCACCTCTCCAATAGATTTAGATTTGCTGATCTCAGCTTCCTCCTACAGTTGGTAGCGTTGCTGCTTCCCCCCTTATGTGTAGTCCGGTGCCCTTTTCTTATGAGAATGGTTCACCTGTTGGTGTGGGCACTCCCTGGTGCATCATCCCCAGGCCCTGTGGCATCGGGGCACCCACACACAGCTGCCCCAGCTTGTTCCAGTCCTGCTTTTGCACTCTGTGCCCAGCCAGGCCATATAACCTTACTGCCTCTGCTTTGATGTGTGCCAACCTCTAATATTTGCAAGCCCCTTCTTTCCTGCATGACCTCCCCACATTGCTGCTGGTTGTCCTGAGCACCTCAGAATTAGTTCCATCATCACAGAATTAGTCCTGTGGGTGCTGTGTGGTTTAGCCACACAGACGACTCCATCCCAGCTTCACCTCCCTCTGTGGCCTTGGGAACTCTCTTGTTCTCTGAGTGCCTCATTTTCCTATCTGTGAAGTGGGGGTACTGAGAGGATCCGCCTCAGAGTCTGATGAGGGTTAAATGGGTTTTGTATTCACATAGGATGGTGCCTTGCAACCCTTTAGGTGCTGATGTTGTGGTTGTGGTGGTTGCTTGTGTTTAGTCTTCCTACATTTTCTCACTTCCTTCAGCTGGTCCCAGTCTATCCTTCCCAGTGTCTCCTGGGCCCTCCTGTCACCCTCTCTATGAGCAGGACCCAAATTCCAGGTCTGTTGAGATCCCACCATCCCCCTGTGGGAAGAAGCCTCCTGAGCATGTCTCTGCCTCTCTAGCCTGTCCTCCCATAGCCACAGACTCTCCTGGATGGACCGGGGGCTCCTTTGTTGACTAGAGCAGTGCCAGCCAGTGCCAGAGTCACCAGCCACAAGTCACTATTTAAACCTAAGCTGAAAATTAAAGTCAGAATAAAAATTTTGGTTTCTTAATCACATTTGCAGTACTTCCAGTGCTCATGTGACTGAGGCGACCCTGTTGAACATTTCCATCATCACAGAAAGTTCTGGCGTCAGCGCTGGCCTGGGGTGAAATCCCAGCTGAATAGCATGGACATAAGATTCACTCGGTGGGCCTCATTTCCCTCCTCCCCTACCCAGCACACCAGCCAGACTAGCAGGCTCACCGCTGACCTGAGCACACAGCCTGTGGGACCCAGTGCTCTTTCCCAGGAGCCCTTTTTCTCCATCAGGCCCAGCTTGCCCCTTGTCCTGGGACCTCCTGTCCCTCACCCCATCAGCTTGGGCTCTTTCCCTGCCCATGTTTGCCTTACCTCATTTTGCCTCTTCGTGTAGTTTTTGCTTCATTTCTCCTGCTCAAGTCACATTAGTGATCAAGTTTTCCTGGGACTTTGTGATCCTCCCTTGATCCTCAATGGGTATTTAGTGAATGCTCCTAGGATGGAACTCAGTGAAAGTTAAGGTCTCTGGGTGACCTGGTGTCTGAGCACAGAGATTTGCTTATGTTTGTTTCTCCCCAAATTTCTGTAAGTAGTCGGCCCACAGACCTACTTTCTTGATAATTGTGATATAATATTAGAGCCAGAACAACCCTCTCATCACAAATACTGTTAAAAGATGCCTCGGAAGGAGACGGGGCTGGCTAGGACCAGGGGAGAGCCATGGCTCAGCATCTTCTGGAGCTGCCTCCCACTGACCAGATTCCTCCAGGCTGCCCCTGCCCTTGTGGCTCCAGGCAGGCTCCTTGCCACAGTCGCAGGCTCAGTGTGACTCTTACTTGTGCTCGTTTATTTGCTGATCAGGTGAGGTACTCCACAGACAGTATCTGTTTACTCATATCTTCTCTTGAAAGGAGCAGAGTACCTGGATACACACTCAGAGACATTGTCTCTAGCCAAGGAGGGCAGTGGAGCTCAGGAAACTATTCCAAGGGTGGAAAAGGAATAGTACTTAAAGAGAGCTGTGCTGCTTCTGCAGCTGGACATGTAGCTGTGGGCGTGATCACTACCTGGGCTGCCCCGCTGAGTCCTCTGCAACGCTCTTATGGTTGGACAGCAAGTCTTTGAAAACAGCGTTACCTCTGCCAGAACCTGGAGAGTCGGGACCCCTCCAAGGCCCTGCAAGAGCCTGGTAGTTGGGGCCTGCAGAGGAGAAGACCGAGGGCCAGGGTTGTATGGCAGGGCAGGCATCAGGGACAACTGCCCAGAAAAGAGTCACCATAGCTGAGGACTTGGTAGGAATCAGCAGGTGAACAGGTAGAGAAAGTCCAGGGAGGGGGAGCAGGTGTCTGTACCTGGGGGTGGTGACTGTGTCACAGATCTTTCTAGCATTCCCTCAGGGCATGCTGCCAGCATCCAATGGAGAACTGAGAGGCTTCTGCCTTCCTGATCTGGTGGCCAAGAGCCACTGCCCTGTTATCAGGTACTGAGGGTACTGGTGCCACTGGCTCCTGTGGTAGTGATTGCACACCACCCTTTAGGCATGATGCCAGAGAGTGACGAGTCCCAAGAAGGACTTGAGCACAGCCCATTGTTATTGTCCTGTAACTGGCACACTAGGCAGTAATCCTCAGGCCCGGGCCCAGTATCACCCCCAGAAGCTCTGACATATACTGATTGGTCCAGGTGGGTCCACAGCACACAGATTATTCCTTAATAATCTGCAGACCACTAGTTTGAATCTAACACTTGCCTGATTTACTTCTCATTTGAAGGAATTTAAAGAACTTCACATGTCAGTAAGAGCAATGGAATACACCAAAAGGACTTTTAAGAACTCAGGCGCCATTAATCATTTATCTAGTGTGAATTTATCTCCTTAAGCAGAATCCCGCTGCACAAAGGCCAACTCTTAAGAACTGGGTCCAAAACTCAAGAGCAATCTGATTTGTCAACTTTTTTTGTAACCCCTACCTGGGGGGTTGTATCTGAGTATGCCTTTGTTTGCAAATTCACTAGTTAGCTTGATTAGTGCTGAACATAGTAAAACTCAGACCGTGGATGACTGAGTAACTCCTGAGTGCTCTTTTAAGAATGATTGCTGTTGTTTTTGTTATTGTGTGCTTTAGCGTGGACTTACAAGGAAGATGGCCACTGAGTACAGTTCAAGCCCCATCCTCAGGTATTCCCAGGAGGAACAAGAACATGTAACAACAGGGACACGGCCCTTCAACCCCAGAAGTTGGGATCAGTTGTTGTCCCTCACTGGAATTGGAGGGGGACTTCTGCTACTGCTGTGGCAGGAAGAGTGGAGCTGGCCTGGGTGCCCAGTAGAAGAGCCTGGAGCAAGGGACCACTGTGGTCACAGGAGCCAGGCTCTGTCCCCACACCCTCACCCAGCACAACCAGCCCCTACAGGCAGCTGGGCCACCACCACAGAATTCTGTCCTAAGGCACTAGGATTTTAAGCTTGAAAATTCTGACAGTATACTCTAAACATCATGGTCTGTCATCAGAAACTCAGGTTGATGATCTTAGAGTTCCAAGTTGGAAACCACCTGGCTGGCCCATAGGTTTTGCTGCCCAGAGATTAGGTTCACTTTTCAAGGATGCCTATGGGCAGACTTGTGTGGCGGCCCGGGGTCTTATACCCTAAGAGGCACCAGAGTGAAATTCTGGGTGGGCAAGATGGGGCTGAGAGAAAGTGACAAGCCGGTGGGGAGTGAAACCAGAACAAGTCAGCCATGGAACCTTCGTCCAAGTCAACGCCTATAAATGAAATGCTGCTCCCATGGGGATGTGCGCATATCCCCAGGGATGTCTTTGCCCTAGTGTGAGGCTGGTGGTCTAGGAAGTCTCCCCTGGCCCTGCAGAGGGGTGCCAGAAGCCAAGCACTAGAGGGGAAGGAGCTGAGGAGCACCATGCAGCCATCTCACTCACACCTGCCTACTTATCCCTTGTCACACGCAGAAGACTTAGTGAAGGCAGTATGTCCTTCACAGTCGTAGCCCACTCAATGGACGGCCAGGCTGGCCAGACCTAGCCAACAATATGAGCCGTGCTAGTCACTGATCTCACTCATGACTTGTGTGAACACTGAGACTTTGAAAAGAAACAGGAAGGAAAGTATATTTTAGCTTCTCATTGTTTTCTGAGAGACCTTTTCAGCAACTAAGTAATCTTTTAAACCCATGAATGCAGCTTTGGGTGACCAACTCCCTTATGCCCTCCCTTTAAAACCCCTACCCTCCCCACCCCCAGAATGCCTAGTCAGCATTCTGGAATACCTTCTTTAGGATAAATACCTTTTACTTTTTTTCAGGGAGTGATTCTTCCTTTTGAGTTATTCACTTTAATTTAGTAGCCAGGGATTGATAATAAGATTTAAGGTAACTTATCTTTCCAGAAAACTGTGGGGTCTGATGAGAAGTGGTGATGGTTTAGGGGATGGTAGTGAATAATGTTTTGAAAACGTCATGAAGAACAGTTCTGTTAGGATTAGGTCTTTTTTCTGTGTGCGCCCTCTCTCTATTTGCATATAAAATAGTGTTTCTTAAATGTAGAAATAGCTGCTATGAGGAGACCAGAGAAACACCAAGAAGTGACCTGCGCAGGGGGCATGGGCCAGATTGAACCTGATGGCACACACAGCTGCCCCAGCAAACCCTGGCTTTGGGATCCCTAAAAAATAGGCAGGGCAGGAGCTGCCAGCAGGTCATTTTGGTGTCCCAGGACATCCCTGGAACTCCTGCAGTGGACATGTGACCCAGTCCAGAGGCAGGGAGAGCAGGCTGCCTCAGGCAGGTGCCCAGTTCTAGGCATCACCGACGCAGGACCACAGAGAGCTGGTGTGGTCACTTTGACATTTTACCCAGTCAGATGCCCTTGACCATGGGTCATTTTTACCCTGAGCAGCATTGTTTAGTGTTTGCCCACTTTGAGTTACCAGGGGAACAGATAGTTGTAGAGCAGGGGAAAGGGTTTGTTACTTCTTTTTTCCCACAGAACCATGGAAAAATGTTAAACACCTAAACTAACAGTTTGCAAAAGAAAAAATACAGATAGATGAAAAGAATACAGAAGAAAAAATGTTGCTTGAAGTTACATGAATAGATTGCATTTTAAGTCAAGATTCACATGCCAGTTAAAGCAAGATCATCTCCTATCAAAACAAATTCTTTTAATCTAAAAATTCAGGACAGGTGAGGGTGTGTGAGGCAGGCATCCTCCTGCTCAGCTGGCAGCAATGTGCTTTAGCAAAACCTTTTCAGAGAATGGTTTTGACAGTTTGCACCATGATTTTTTAAAGTGTTAATGTTGTCTTTGTGCATAAAGTCAGTGCTTTAAAAGACACTTAAAATGATATGGAACCCAAAACAATTTTCTTTTAATAACTCTTCTCCTATGACACTTAGGGAAAGGTCTTGTGAACACCCTGGAGGCTATTAGAGCCATGGCAGCCTTCCTAAGCATGCCAGTGGCCCTCTTTCCCCACCCACTATCTATTCAGACCACAACAGTACCCTTCTAGGGCCTGCAGCCCCTAAGGGGAAACTGCATCCTGCCCCTCCTGGGAAGGACTTGTTCTTTGAAACCTGCCACTCGGGACTCCTTGCATTTCCTGCGCCAATCTGATTTTCCCGAGACAGTTGTCTCCAAATCATGGTCTCTGTAGTCCCAAAGCCTGAGCTTCTAGCACCCAACCTTAGCTGGGATCGGCACAGTTAGACAGTCCCAAGGTGTCTGGAAGGAGGCGCCCAGGCTGGCAGGTGCACGGCGTGGTTGTCTCCATCACTTACTCAACAGCCTCTCTCCCTCCTCTCTTCTTCCTCTTCCCCCTCTGCTGTTTTTTCCTCCATATTATCTTCAGACTGGTATCTTTCAGGCCTGGGAGCACTGCCCCTCCATGCACAGTCCCTGGTTGGTGCCGACCGGGTGTCCCCATCCATCCACAAGCTGCGGCAGCACCGCCCGCTGGGGCGCACCCAGTCAGCCCCACTGCCCCAGAACGCCCAGGCCCTGCAGCACCTGGTGATCCAGCAACAGCATCAGCAGTTTCTGGAGAAACACAAGCAACAGTTCCAGCAGCAGCAACTGCACATGAACAAGGTGAGTTTGCCAACTCAGCATACTCCCTGGGGTGCCTCTGGGTTCCAGGGGTGGCCATGTGATTGCAGCCTCACCATTCAGCATCACCCTTCTGACCTTGAGAGAGAGCTGTGTAGCAGAGCTGGGATGCTAGGGAAGCTGGGGGTCAGAAGCAATTTACCAGCAGCAGAAAACACAGCCCAGGGCCAGCCCCCTCCCCATCAGCAGGAGTAAGTATGGTTGGGCCATGTCATGCATGTCAAGGGTTTGTGTCAGTGCATGGGAAGTTCTACTTGAGCAATGCCATTTTCTAGGGTTACTACATAAGGCCGTTTCAACAAACCTACAAGCCAAAGTTAACAACTTCACAATGCTATAAAGGCCCCAAGCATATTTACCAAGGCATGTAGCACTTGGAACAAGCTTATATATTGGAGGAACATTGTCAGAGGTGGTTTGGGCACAGGACAGCCCCAAAGGTCCCTGTTCACAAAAGTCTTGAAAGTCACTCAGATAGGTCTATGTTCAGGAGAAAGTCGTAAGGCAGGTTGTGATGTGATGCTGGTAAACAGGAAAGCAAAGGTGCTAAATGAGTTTTTCTCCAACGCTGGCAATTGGAATAAAGCATCTCTAATATTAGAGGTGAGATGAGCTGATGTGAAAGCAATATAGCAGTTCCTCAAATGGTTAAGCACAGCCACTACATGGCCCCACAGCTCTTTTGCAAGATGCAAAGATACACATCCACACAAAAACTCATCCTTGAGTATTCACAGCAGCATTACTCATAATAACCCAACCATGGAAAAACCCAGGTGGCCACCTAATGATGAATGGTCAGAACAGACGTGGTATGATATGATTGTGTTCACATGTGTTATCCAAAGCAGGCAAATCCATAGAGGCAGGGAGCAGATCAGGGGTTGCCAGGGGCCAGGGCTGCTGTGCGAAGATGGGAGCGACTGCCAGTGGGCACAGCCTATCATCCCTATAAAGAGAGGCTGTTCCAAAATTAGACTGTGGTGATTGCTGCACAACTCTGTAAATATACTAAAAACAACCAAATTATAAAATTTAAAAATATGAATTTGTGGTATGTGAATTATATCTCAATAAAGCTGTTACAAGAAAAAAGGATGAGGTGAAAGAAAGGGGACTTTGGTGGCGATTTTCTGAAGGAAACTTGAAGAAATCTTTGACAGATCTGGAGACGGACTGAATTGTTTCTTGATTATGTCTCCTTGCCATAAAAGCTCTCCTGTCAGTCCCCTGATTGCAGGTGGACCCGTCATGACTTCTTTACCAAGCAGCAGGGTCAGGGGCTTCTGTTGTTTCCCTAAAGAATGAAAAGTTGGGGGAAAGGTTAAGAAGAGTCTTGGAAGTACCTTGGAGTAAGACTTGGAAGGTCAAGTGTCAGGGTCCTCAGGCAAGGGCAGAGATGGAGCCATAAGGAAACACCCTTCTTCTATCCCCCACTAACGTCCCCTACCAACATCTGCCACCTTCTCAAGGGCATGATACTGAGCCCAGACAGCCCTGACCACGTGGCATCATTAACCCCTCACTCCTGCCTAGTCTCAATTTTCTTCTTTCAAGCTCCCTGTTTCCATCCCAAAAGGAGTTTCTGCTTAGCCCTTGTGTGTTTGAAGGCTTTGCTTTCACTGTGTCCAGTGGGGCTACCTCAGAGAATGTCCTTTGGAGATGGCAGCTGACTACAGCCTAAATCTGTCCTACTGTGTTTTCCATTGCAGGGCTGGGGGCATGCAATGAGGAAAGAGGCCCTCTTGGTGCCTTGACCCCAGGTGGCAGCTGCCCCTGAGGAGATAGCACAGGCCACAGCCAGACCTCTGCTACCCGCCAGGCACTACAAAATATGCTCACCACCCCCACTCCAGGTCCTCTCATCACCAGATAGCATTGACTGTGCCAGAAATGGCAGGGGAAGGAACATGTCCCCTCGTTGCAATGGGAAAGGTGCCTGCTGTGGGTGAGACAGGATCCTGCCAAGTGTCTTTACTACCAAGTGTCAAAAGCACTTTCATATTCGTCTTTCTAATGCCATCTTAGGCTTAATAATTTTATTATGTCACTATCTGAGTGATAGGGTAGGAGGTTTGAGGAAGACAGGAAACACCTATTCACATGTGGTATATTCTTGAGAAGAATGATTTAGAAACTGGGTAATCTCACTGGATTTTGTTACATGATTGATTTACGGTAGTGAATGACAGTTGATTGAAACGTTTATACAATGTTTTCCTGGGATGCTCAGAAGACAAGGATCGTATCCAGCACTGTCTAGCTCCGATGTTCCTGACCTTCATTTTGGAGGTTGATGTTTCCTGAGGGCATCTGTCCAGCTCAGGCAGCTGTGAACTTCCCTTCCTGGGGACCTGCTCTGACTGGCATGGGGATTGAGGTCGGGGCCAACTTGGTCTGCTGCTCCTTCTGCCTGTGTGTTGGAGGGCAGTTGCTTCAAAGATGTCACTCTGAGAGTAAGAGAGAGACCACCTGTTCCTACTTGTATTCCCAGCAGCCATATGTGGCCACTCTAGTTTTCCTGAGGTTCACAGTCAATGGAACTGCCCTATTTGGCTGAGAAAAGTCTTCGAGAGAGATGAGATCTATCCCGATCTGGCTGCCTTAACACCTCTCCAGGCCGTGTTTGGGATTGTGGCTGGTGCTCTCCAGCTGTGTGTCAGTGTCTATTGTCAGTGCCCCATGCCTTGCACACAGTGGTCTTTAATAAAGGTTTGCTGATTAAAGGAACTTTCTGGAGAATGTGTGCCATCAAAGGGCGAGTGGAGCTTTCAACTCTGCAAATGAAACCACCCCTCTGTGTTTGCTGACCGCATCCGGACATGACCTCAGCAATGTCTGGTTTGCGGACAGCGGGAGATGTGCCGAGATGTGTTCAGGCGAAATGCTGTTTCTTTCTATTAAAAGAGACTATTTGAAGGCGTCTTCTACCACTGGAGCAAGAGGCTTTGCTGCCGAGGACGGTTTCTGAATACCACACAGTAACTTGACCCTTTCAGGATAGGTTTGTCTGTGTTTCTCTAAGCTGGGTGTGTTTGCCTTTAGCTCAATAGTCTCAATTTTGAATGTGAAAACTTGGACTCATTTTTATGGGCAGTCTAATTATTAGTATGTCTAAAAGTTTTTACGTACAGGCGGTTTACTAGTTTGGTTTTGGCCCTGAACTCCAATCTGATTTTTAAAAAATATATTGTTCTAAACGTGGAGGTGTATTTGCTCTTAATTGATAAAGGGGGCTCCCAGTGTCCAAGAGGCCTGTGGTCTGCAGGGAACTAATTTGTTTATCCGTTGCCACTGCACTGCCGGCACCTCTGTCATACTGCCTGCAGCAAGCTCACCTCCCAAAACCAGCTCTGTAGTGTGGTCCCAGTCTTGCCAGCGAGGAGCAGAGCTGAATCTCAAAGGGGTGGGGAGAGTGACAGGCTTTGTGGCCACAGCCTGGGAGGCTGACCGCACCAGTGCCTACGTCAATGCTGAACCAAGAAGCCTGGTTCCAGGCCTGTTCTGCATCACAGAGAGGGCCCTGACGGGTGCCGCCACCATGGCAACGTTCCTCCCTGACACCCTCTAGAAGAGGCCTAGTAGAGCTGTGGCTGCACCTCAGGGCCTCCCTCTACCCGAGGATGTGAAGTGTGTCCAAGCTTCTGGTCCAGGTTCCCCAGAAATCCTTTGCCATAGCCCTGAGTGTCATGATTCTCTTGGGGTCTGAGGCCTCTTTTCTTGTGAGGGGACCCTGGGAAGTGCACCTATGAGGGACAGTTCCGGCCGTAACTCTGCTGTGCCCTTCTGCCTGTCCTTGACCTCTCAGGCAGGGTGGTTGCTGGGCCCTGGCCCTCTCCTGCTTGTTGTGCTTCTCCTCACACACCACAGAGGGCATACCAACATCAACAGTAGGCAGAACCTTCCTCATGGAGAAATATGCACACACTGCCTCAGCCATGGATCACACTCAGCATCACAGGTAGCAAACACATAACCGCCACCGGACTCCTGAAACAGCATTCCTGAGGACATACTGTCACCCTCAGCGTCCCTGCCTGAAAGCCCTTGCCTGAGTCCTGTAGTGAGGAAGTGGGCTTTAATCTCGTGAAAGACCAAAAAGAGGCCCAGGGAATGTTGTTCATTTAAAGACACTCAAGAGACACGACATCCAGCAGAACACATGATCTATAGCCGAACCAAAAAGGGCCATATGGCACAACACTTTAGACTATGAATCCCTGCGACATGGTAGACATGGTGGTTAAAAGCCTTCACTATGGGTTGTAGTGGTTATGACTAGCCTCACACAGGCCGGCAGGAAGGAAGGCCCACCTCTCTATTTCTACATCAATCTGTCTATATAGAGGAGAAGGGCATTAAAGAGTTGCTTATATTATTCTTGAGATTTTTCTTTAGGTTTGAAATTTAAAAGAAAAACATCAGAAGAAAACAAGGAATCGCACTTCTCCGCCCACTAAGCATGCTCTCCCTTGGCTGCATTCCTTTCAAACAAAACAAAACTAAGGCTTTTTCCTCATGTAATGCCCTCAATTTTGCTATGCCTAGCTTCCTGGGGGCAGGCCATTTGCTACAGGCCCTAGCCCTCTGCTCCTCCGTTTCTGTGTCTCTCTACCCTGCCCTAGAGAAGGGTCCTGTTTCTGTATCCCCAATGGGGATGCTGTCTTTGAGCACTTTTATCCAGTTCAGAAAGTCTCCTGAGTTCCTAAAGAAGGCTGACAGTTTCCGGGTTACCTCTGGGATGGGACTGCCCCGCCTCCACCCCAGATCTCCCTCCAGGTCCCAGTCCTCTTCCCTCCCCTCTATCTCTTTTCCATCTCCCTTCACACCACTCTCCTGGCTCACTGGCCTCTTCTCTGTGTATCTGTGTCTGTGTGGCCTCCCTTCCTCTTGTCCTCCCAGTGTCGGTACCCCTCATTCCTCAGTTTCTTTGACTCCCAGAGCTGTACGTGGAGCTTATGTATTCATGGCTTTGACCTTGA